GATGCAGCCTCGGTTAAGGTACAAACTTAATTTTATATATATTTATACTCGTATGGCCAACGATCATCGTGCCCGTATATCCTCATATATTTCATATATTTACGATAAGTTTCACAAATTTCTTTTACACCAAAAGTTACATTCCCAATCATCGTATCGTAATAATTATATCCATAACACTCTATAAGTCAAACGTTTTTCATCCGAAACCAATGCACATAATATTATGTACCATACTAACGGGTCGTAGCACACGACCATCGGGTTAATCGATCAAAGTCTTTATTTTAAAATCAATTTGATTGAATCCGTTATTTTAAAATAAATCTTAACAATTAAGTCACTGCACGCCCAACTCGTGCATACCGTAAATAACATTTGTACATTGAAATATGCGCCTGCATTCCCTCCACGACTCGTAAAAATCATCATATGGAGTTAAAGCTGCTACTCTCAACCTATTTTCACGAAATGCCATCGCCAAACAATCGTCACTCCTATGCTTGCTTGCTCCTCTCATCGAAAATGTAAATCATTATTTTTTCAAGTCTTATCCATACTTAGTCACGTGCACATGGGTGAGTAAATTATTTCTTTCAATTTTCAGTCGTTAAAAACCATGATTCTACCAGCAGCGCAGTGTGTACATTTCCATGTAAACGCATTTACGTCAAGTATGATGTATAGCGTGTCCATAAAAACAACGATGCGACACGCGAGGACAAGAGCCACGAGAGAAATAAAAAGGTGGTCTGATGGGCGAGTATCAGCGCGGGCGTTGGTCACCGCGCCGTTGTATGTTTATTGCGGAGGAGTTACTGCCGAAGCTAACAATACCTCGTTGGCCGAAGCTCCGCGTCGTTCTTTCATTACTACACGCTTTTTCAGGCTCCGAAATGTTTCTGGCGCATTTTTACGGCGGCGAGCTCGCTTTTCTCCCTGTTTCTTTAGTTTCGTGTTCCCGCGGGATCGTAAAATGCTAAAAGTGTCGCTATCCGCGTTTACGGTGCTCCTGGCTGCTGGTAGGTTGTTACCGGGCACGGAAAATGTTATCGAAATCCTCCCATCTTTCATCCACCACGACTGTCTACAAATTCCGGGTGAAGTGTAAAAAGCAGGTTTCTCTAAGTTTTCCCAATTTGTTGAATGTGTTTTTTTTTTTTTTTTTTTTTTTTTTTTCACTGTTCTTGCACACGCTCATGTCTGACACTTATTATTACGACACAATTTCCATCCTCCATCATTACGTGGTTTGATTATTTTATTTAAACCTTACCTGAATAGAGTTTCAATAAAACAACGAATCCGCCGACTGACGTTTGAAGAATCGCCGTGTTTGTTCAACGTAACGCGATCGAAAGAGTAATTTTGTACAATTTTCTAAGTGCTTTATAATTCAATCCAACGAGCTAAGGAACGTCTCAAAATTATACGGGTACGTTGCACATTCATCTGTTCAGCTGTTCAATCTCATTAACGTTTTGAAGCGATTCGTCAACGTCAGGCGGTGACTCTGCATTTCTTAAACACCGAGTTAAACATTGCTCTGCCGGACAATAACACTTTATTTTTCTTTTGATTATGAATCACAACTACGGATCATTGGCAATTGGGATGCAAGATTTCTTGTTTTCTCTAGGATTGATAGTCTCCAAACTTTCATTTTTCACTATTTTTTGTTGCAAGCCAAGTGCCTCGACTCTTCATTTTCGAAATTGTAACGGATCATCGATATAGCGTTCAATCTTATTACAGTAATATTTATAATATGTATATAGGTATATATTGCCTTTATCAATATCTCTTTAATTTTATGTACATAACACGCGCGAATAAGTCGAGGCAAATCAACGACAATTAAGTTTCTGCATTCACGTTTGATCTCCGCTACAAAATCGCTAAACCAGAGCTCCCACCTGTTCCCGTGACTCGGACTATTTGCTTTTAGCTTAGAGGTCGCGTTCACTCCTCTCTCTTTTGGACTTTGGGCCACAGATATAGTCGCTTTCCTCCTTGCTTCGAAACAAATGGAATCTTTGCTAGCCGTGAGGGTCAGCTATTTTGATTTTTTCGTTTGAGCTTCGCTTAGCTTATTACAAACAGATTTAGCTGATTTAAATATGTCATTTAGACATTGTATGTGGCTAAAAAGTCTTATAGCTGTAAGTAAATGAATTTCAAAAAGGTACAGCAAGTTCAATGACTTGCAAAAGTCTCGTGTGATTTTTTTTTTTCTTATGATTCAAAGTCTTTATTATTATTATTTGTGGTCATTATAAAATTTGTCAGTTCGATAATAATAGTCAAAAAAGTAACAGTTACAAGGAAATAAAAATTACTTATAAAATTGTTGCTTTCAATAATCTCCGTTTACGGCAGTTACGTTGTGTTTTGTTGAATACATTGCAAGCTTAATACTTATACGCTGGCGTACAATTTGTTGGACAATGCGAGTTTCTTCTCTTTTGTTTCTTAGCTTAACACACCAACGACATAGCGCTAAGTAAAATTTACCTGTACATGTGCATGAAAACTCTTATTGTCGAAGGCATTAACGAAAAAGTAGACAAAGCTTGTGAGTCGTTTATAAACATTTAGTAACACTTTAATGGAATGGAAAAGTATAAGGAGCTAAAAAGTTGTGATCCTATTCACAAATCGATTCAGGGAAATTCAGAATACTGTGTGATAATGAAATAAATGTTTTTACGATCTTAAATAAAAATTTGTCAATTATGCATTAGTTGACATTTAAATTTAGCCACGTATTAATTTACGTGAAATACCTTTTTATAATCCCCAAAAATAACCTAACGACTTATCAATTTAAAGAATCGTTGGTCGTAAAGATAAAAATACTAATTATAATACTAAACTACAAAAAATAAATGTGATCTGAGTGCTCCACGCGTGATTTTTTACAAAAACCAAACATTATATCAAAATAAAATTTTTTATCATTTTTGCTGAAGCTAATTAAACTGCATCCTCCGGAAGTGAGAAAATCGTTTCAAGAGCCACATAATTTCCAAAAAATTATAATTGGAAATAACACAGTTAAAAATACATACGATGAATTTATAATTAAAAAATTTAGTCAAACAGATCACAATAGATAATTGAAAAGTTATTGACTACGTTTTATAAGGTATTTAAAACATTTTCTCAATTCATTTTACTTGACATGTATAAAAAAAAATTTCTTAATGGACGGATGCAGCCTCGGTTAAGGTACAAACTTAATTTATTTAAGAATTTGCAAGAATAAACTTAGTGGATTTAATTGATCCCAAATTGGTAATACAAAAAACAAACAGTACTGTTGGGCAATTAAAAAATTTGATCATTCATGAAATAATACTGTATGAAAAGTGCTTACGTGCAAAAAAGTCATTTTTTCTTATCTCTTGCTTAACGTTATTGGAATGTTAAAATAATATTATTTCCAGTCAGAATAGTTCTCGCTACAAGACTGCCGCACTATCTAACTTAAACTAAGTGTGCTGTAACTAAGGTTCAGGATAAAAAACATTTGGATTTCTCATTGTCAATTAAAAAATTATGTCTTTCATTAATAATACTTCTTTTCTCCAATTCAGTAAGATTTAATTTTCGATGGTAAAATCGAACAAATAGAGCTAGACCTTAGTTACACACGTGCCGGAATAATTCCCGCTAAAGTAGAGTTTCATCTTACAAGATTGATTTATTTTTTTTGTTTTTTCATCAATGATGTTTTATTTTCTTTTAGTTTAAGCTATACTTACTCTTTCTTAATAAACTATTTACAAACTCACATATACGAAAGAAAAGCGAAGTAACGCAGCAGCTAACTCGGTCTTTCACATGTATTTAATGAAACCACGAACCCAGAGGGCTCGTCAATCACAAAATAAATAAAAAAAAGAAAACTGCTCATCAAAAAAACGGGTAACTGTACTGTTGTTACTTCGTTTTAGCGAGACATGTAAAAAAGCGTCTTAAAGTACCACAAGTGCGCGAACCTTTCGGAGCCATCGGCTGGCTAAACATCTAAAAAGGAAACAGCTGCCAGACCAAAAAATACAGTGCCAATCGCAAAAAGGCCCACTTGGGAAAAAAAAGGATTCATGCGCTTGTCGTTACTATTTTTGCTCGTCAATCAGCATCCATCTCACTCCCTTCTTATCAATTATATCTTAAAACGCAGAAAAAGAGGACGGCGCCGCTCGCCCGAGGAAAGTCCGTTCGCTTGTTCGATGTGGCTGTTGTTCTTGCAATGAGAAATAAGTGTGTTATGGCTGGTCGATCCGGGACTTTCGAGTAAACGAGGCCTCCAACACCCGAGGCCACGCGCACACACTCGCACCCACTGCATCGGTTACAATGGTAAAAAAAAAAAAAACACGCGTCGACGTGCAACTATTATTTTTATTCAAACATGCCGATCGCCGATTTCAAACCCAAGAGCTCTTTGGCGAATCGCACTTGTGCGGTCAACCTCCACGATCGACCGGAGCTCCGCATCGGTCATCAAGTCGGCGATCCCAACGCAACGGGGGTGTAAGAATTTAAATGAAGTACACAAAAGGTGGAGCACGCGAACAGTACTCCTTTCCTCGAGGGAAAAGAGCCCCGATGTCGTACGCGCTCGTCGTGCGCAATATCGTTACAGTTGTTTTGTGGACGTCGTCGCCGCGTAATTAACGTGATCGGTGAGGTGGGTCGAGAGATGTGGCGTAGCGAGGCGGGGTTGGAGGGGCGAGGGAGAAGAGTTGTTAGACGGGCGTGTTGGTCTTCTTGTCGAGGCTGTCCTTGCCGTTGACGTACTCGCTGCTGGCGTGTATGGGGTTCTCCTGGCCGTGCTGGCTGGCCGGGACCTTCTCCTCGCTTATGATGTGCTCCTCGTGCTGGTCGGCGCCCGCGCCCCCGTCTGCCTCTTCGTCGCTCCGATGCCTCGCTGCAACAAGCAACCCCACGAATAATCGGTCAAAGGCATTTTTCGTTTACGCTTTTTTCATCCATACGTGTGGATTTTTTTTTTTTTTTTTTTTTATCCTCAAATGAATACTAATAAAAAAATGTTCCAACTGCTAGCTACAATGATGTTCAAGTTGTGCACTACGATTAGTTGTTACGGTGGAAGATATACATACAACAATTAAGTCTCGTGCTCATTTTCGTTCAAGCAGGCATTGTTAATATGCTTGGGAAAGAAAGGATCATTTTAAAGCTAAAACTAGTATTATGGTGTGTACTAATCAGGTAAAAAATGTTAAAGATGTAAAGAACAAAAAAATTTTCCAAGTAAATAGCTATGACCAGCCATTAATGTTTTTTTGATAATTAAATAAAGTTTCATGTCAATATTTTTATTGTATTATCAATTTTTCTGTTAATTAAAAGAAAACTTACTATCATATTATAGTTTTATCGATATAAGTAGTTTTTCATTGGCAATTTTTATGCAAGATTTCTTGTTTTCTCTAGGATTGATAGTCTCCAAACTTTCATTTTTCACTATTTTTTGTTGCAAGCCAAGTGCCTCGACTCTTCATTTTCAAAATATTTGTTATTTCTATTTATTATAACTTATTATTTTCGTATTATTTAAATACTACAACAGGAAACTAAGAGAAAGTTTAATATTGTAGTATTTTGAGAAATACGTCTCAATTTTATGCTATTACAAAGCGATGTGTGAAGACAAGACTACAAAATTTAAATTGGTAAATTGAGGCTCATATTATGTACACGGTAAAGTTTTACTGAACTGTGCATGCAAGTCTAATTAGTTTTTGTGTTTCTTCAGTAAAAAAATTGATTAAATAATAATTTTACATCTTACATTTATGTGTTAATGGAAAATAATGAAATTTCACTGGAAGTTTTAGGAAAATATATGCAATAACTTACTTAAAAAAGGTGCTACATATAATTTGACGTGCAAACAATTACAAAGTTCGAAATTAAAAGGAGAAGAATACAATGGACAAGTGACTATCATGATTAGTGTGCTTATGAAAACATTCTTATTATAAAATAATTATGCAAATCTTTTAAAAAAATAATCACTTTATAACAACTATCTACTGATGCTACGTATAAATTATAATAAAATTTGAAAAAGCCTTTCTCAGTCCACAAATCCTCATTAATAAAATGCACAGTATACACATACTTTGAAAAGTTAATGAAAGGCAGCATTAAAAATAATTATTTTACTAGAACGTTGTTCAATGTTTTATATAACAAGAAATGAAAAAAAAACTATCGAATTTCGTTAAACAGCTTCATGGCTGACTAAACTAAGAGTATACTACTGAAAATAGAATTGACGTATACATTAATACAAAAATAAAATAATCACTCAATTAAAGATACAGGGAAGTCTTTTTCATCACTTAGATATGAGCAAAAATGTTTTTATTATAATGTAAAAATCATGCAGTGTTAGATTTGTTTTTTATGAAAACACAGTTGTTTCAATTTGAATTTAATCAAGTTGGTGAAAAAAAAAGAAAAAAACAAAAACATGCAATCGTGAAACACACAATTTAAAATTGTCTCGTTTTAATTCATTAATGAAGAAAATGAGTCCCAAAAATGACGATGCAGCTAACAGTAAGAGATTGGAAAAGTCAATAAATCACATGTCTTGACTTGTCCACACACTTGCCTTCGCCGATTCGTAGCGGTTGCTTGTTATTTATCATACTTTATCTACACGCAAAAACAATTCACTTAATCACACCTATGCGACTTTAGTTGTAAAATCAAATGCATAAACTATACAAAAACTCATGCAAATACAGCTTATATCCGACATCATGCATTACAAAAGTTTTGCCGATGCGTTTGTTCATTTCAACTATTATCTACATGTTTAAAAGTCTTATAGAATGAGTCAATTTTTTTCAGAATGAAGAATTCACTACTACGGTCATAAAACTAAATGTAAAAAGATGTTTACTCTTTGATTTTTAAACCAGTAATGCATAATTACTTTAATAAAACATCCATTAAATGTTTAACACTGATACCAATATTTATATTACTGTTGTAATTGGGTAAAAAATTATTTGTCATAATGACGAAACTAGTAAATTTTCCTTGATTCAATTTAATTTTTTTGAATTCTTCAATAAGTTAATCTCAACGAATAGACTCAAAACACTCCATTCCATTTTTCAAAGAGTAAACATATCATTAACAACATTCAAACGGAACACAATGCGTACATTGATACACAAATATTCTAAATAATCAGGACGAGTCCTTTTAATAAAAATACGTAAAAAGGGATATACTTTAGTAATGAAATAAAAAGATCAACAAAGCATAAGGAATCGACGAAGGTATCAAACATCAAGTACTTCGTATCGTTCTATGGGATAGTAAAAATCGTGTCAAGTCTAAGGGCGAGAAAAAAAGATGCACATGTACGCAACATTGGTAAAATAGGCAACAATAAAAATAAAATAATCGAATCACAGTACAATAAAATCAAAGATGATAACAAAAATAACAACAGCAATAAAATACGGGGGATCTAGTTGAACTGACGGGCGAGCGTGTGGCTGATCAGCAGCGGCGACTTACCCCCATTGGACAGTCTCAAGCCACGGTATCGCGCGCTTTACGGTTGATGTTTCTCTGGGTACTTTACTTGGCCCGGCTTGCATGCTGTCCTAATCGGTAGGTGCATACAAACACACAAGACACAGTTTTTGATTGACGCTCCTTGCCCAAGGTACAATGTTTATTCAACAGTCATATATCACTATGATCTGGGTGTCTGTTGTCATTAGTGTAGGTGTATACTATGTACATGGCGTGTGACGAGCGACGAAGACAGCCATTCCGGGCAGTGTTATTTCTTTTCACTCTCGCGTGTTCCCACGACCAACGGTTAAGTAAACAAAAAAAAAATGATCTTGCACGGTACAAATACTTAATTTAGCAACACTGAAATGATAATTTGCCAATTTTTCTTCTCGTCCAAATCGGTAATTTCTGGCTTTGAATTTTTCCCAACTAGTAGGCGGGTATGCCAAAACGACTAAACGTTTGTCTACTACACACGTGTGAACACACACAATCACAGATTTTGGTGCTTGAGATGGAACACGTGTCGAAAGCACAATCACCGTGTACGAGGACAGAGAAACCGGGAAGACAAACGCCAATATTGTAATACCCGTAACCTGTTTTTCGGAAGCTCGTGCGCGAGCACAGTGTTAAGGTAGTGCTCGTTCGAGCTGTAAATTCTCGCACGAGAGTAAAGTTCTAATGTGAAAAGATCGAGGTAGGGGGTGTACGGCACTGTGGATGGATTACTCACCGGCAAAACACCAGCGTCCAGTTGCGCGAGCGAAAACCACCAGGAACACAGCGAGGATCAGCAGCAAGACTCCGATGACGATTCCAATTATTGATCCGGCGTCCAAGTCGACTCCTGCAAGGAATATGATTCTTTTAGTCCTCGCTCTCGTGATTTACCTTCACGTGGCGGAAAGCAGCTAAGTCTTCAAAGAATGTTGGTAGACTTGCAAAAGAGATTGAGACAAAAAGCTGTTGTGTCAGAACCATACATTTCAGTGGTTAAACAGTTTTAAAACTATTTTATTACTACAAATGTTTTTTGTGTGCGGTTTGTAGTGCAGTCAGACTCGAGCACGATTATTTAATAAATTTTAGAACCCTTTGAATGAAAATTATTTGTCCCAAATTAAGTTTATTGCTTTTACTGAACTATCTTTAATTCGTTGCTACTCAAACAAGCACTACTATTGAACATTTTTTCGTAGTTGAATAAATTATTTTAATCTTTTTTTCAAATACTTTAACTCCTTTTTTTTCTAAATTACTTTTTCTTTCAAATTGCAATAAGTACACATCTTTTATGCTGAAAAACATTTTAAGCACTGAAATAGTACGTAGTAATTGAAAAAAAATTCTTATCACAGATAATGCGTGGCTTAATACATTAAAAAAAAAAAAAAAATTTTTCTGCCAAACAAATTAAAATAGTATTTGTGCCCAAGTCTGAGTGCAATGCTAAGAGAATTCTGTTTCCTAAAAATGTCATTTTTATCATGGCTTGAGCAATGTGATACACAATTATCACTACAATCGTTTGAAAAGTTCAAAACAAAGTATTTGAAAATACTTTCTACAGAATTCTGATAACATAAAAACAATAAAAATATTTTCTGATCACAACATAAAATAAAAGCACTTGTAAGCCCAAGTTAAATGTAAGCGTAGAATTTGCAGTATTAGAAACAATAGTAACAATTGTGTAGGAGAGAAATTTTTTAAAGAGTTAGTTATGAAAATGTACAAAGTGAGAATTACCTAGTGCGTGCATTTGTTCGGAGAGCTTACCATAGAACTGACCAAATCGACCTAAAGCTCCTGGGTGAGCATGCAGTGAAGTGATATTGCATTAGAAAGAAAAATTTATCGTGGTAAAATGAATGTTTGTTATTTATAGAACTAGACTGTTATTTTGATTAATGACACGATGGCTGTCTTTTTGTATATATAACTAACGTTTACAAAAAAAACTATTATTTCGAGCTGTTTTTACTATTTGAGCTAATTTTTTTGGAAACGGAGATGAAGCGTCACCGTCGAAAATTTCCATAAATTAACAGAAAGCAAAAGATATTGAGCCATGTTTTTTTAGCCAACATAGCTGTATTTATTCTGTTTAAATAAGCTTAAGAGGACTATTTTCCATGACATCCATCTGTATGAGATCCAACACCTCAACAGATCTATCATTTGTTTTCACTTTGAGAATTATTTTTTGTCAAACAAATACATATAAGCAAAAAGCTATTTACAATACACATAGATCTTTTAGTATAATAAACCGTACAGCAGTGATTAACAGTTTGACCATAATTGAAATTCAGAAGCGTTAGTGATGAGTTTATACGTATTTCCGTGAATTGTACGTAATACATTAAGCGATGATCACAGTGAGTTTTAGTGGTTATTTTCTTATTTAATCAATAGCACTGATGTTACATGGCACTAATTGTAAGTCAAAAATTAGGAGCAAACTTTTTGAACTGCTATTTTTAATAAATAGCTTTTATAAAACTGCTAAACACGCATATAACATCACTGCTATAGAAATGTGCTTTCCAAGTGATGGACACACCAGAATACATATATTTCTAACTATATAACTAAAGGTTGAACAATAAAAAATAGAAAACAACCTGCTGGTGGCTCGGATGAAGAGGACAATATTATATTGTAATTGGCGTATCCTTCACCGTTGTCGGCTCGTAGTGCGTACATCTTCTCGGTATCAGATTTCTGAACACTGTCGATGGTCAATTCGACATTCCAGTATCCTCGGCCCTAATTAATGATAAAATATTTATTAACAAAATTCAAATCTCGATCGCTGAATAAATTGTTTTTACCATTCAATAACACCTTCGTAGTCATGGCATTATATATTAATTTTCAATTAATATTCGGTAATATTCAATTTATTATTTGAAGCAATTAATTTTTAATGCATAGTTATTTTTGTTATTTCACGCGAATAATTAAAATTCATAAAAGCATCATTAACATTCTCAATTTGTCTTGATTGCAACGTGGTGTGAAATAAGTTTTAAAAAAAGTAAGGTTTTTACGATCAAATTGAATTTTGTACGAACGGATGTCAAAATTGGTATACACTGAAAACTATATATGAATAAGTAAGGATGCGCAAGAAAACGACGGATGCCCGCAACATTGATTCCACAAAAAAAAACAAATTCGAAATGATGGCAGTATCTCGAACGAGCGCGATTGTCAGTCACGGAACCCACGCAAACCTCGTCCGAGCGAAGCTTGGAAAAAGGAAGGGAGCAACACGCGGGGCGCGATGCCCGTCACAGCGTTTTTCCAGCCGAACAAAACTGTATTTGCACGGCTAACAGCGCTTCGACGCCAATCACTCGCGTGGGACAATAATGGACACACACGCCCGTTGCACCACAGCTGATGCGAATGTCAAACAGGGAGAGAGAGAGAGAGCACCGGCCGATCGAGTATCGATTTTCATGCAACTCCCGGACGCTTACGAAACTCACCAGGTCGATGGCGGAGGAGGTCTGCAGTCGGCCGGTCGAGTCGGTTTGGCCAGCGGGAATGTCCTCGTCACCCACCTTCCAGGTAAAGTTGGGCTTCGGGTTGGCGTGCACCGTCACGTTCACCTTGCCGGACCTGCCGATCGCCTTGCCGAACGACTCGATCGTCTGTTGAGGCTCCGGCGCGACTGCGAACACGAGACAGAAATAACACTTACTTTGGAGCTCACTGGCAGTAGCCAATGTACACTGGCTCTACTGATTCATGTATAGGCGAGAGGCGCGCAAAGTACTCACAGTTGACGTTGATGGTTCGCTGGGTCCTCAGCGGTTCGGCGAGGGCGAGGTGGCTGGCGACGCAGGACAGGGTCTTGCCGTGGTCGTTCGGCGTGACGCTTCGGGACGTGTTGAGCGAAGCCACGTTGCTGTCCTCCATCCGCCCGTACAGGAACGGCCTCTCGTCGTACCCGATGGGCTCGTCGTCTACATTTACCGGTGGGTATACGTTAGTAGGAAGTAAAGGCTGGTCGAGGAAAAGAGTTCTGCCGAGCGCTGGGAGAAAAAATCGAAAAAGGAAGATGAAAATGCTCACCGAGGAAGAGCGAGACGTTGGCGGGTGGGCGGCCGCCCTCGGCTGTGCAGCTGATCTCCATCTTCTCGCCGGGCTTGAAGTGTCCGATCTTGTTGAGCCGCAGCTGCGGGTTGTCCGGCTGTCCTGTGAGGGCGACGCAAAACTTTGAGCATAGTACTAGTTTTTTGTCTTTCTTTGTTCGCAAGTCACCTATACTTTTCGAGCTCTTCTCCCCCATAACTCACGCTAGAGAGAATATTCTTTCCATCTACATTTTTCTCGCACGAGTAGCTGCGTGCACGCTCGTGGTTCGTAGCTCACCCGTCGCGCTGCTCGAAGACCATCGGAGCTGTATAGTATATACCCTCCATGTTTCGAAACTTTGAGGGCGGAGGGTTCGGGGACTTATGCCCTTGAGCAGCGTAATCCGCGTGTTTTTCTTGCTGGCTCGCTTACGCGCGCAGGGCATGAATTTTTCGAAAAATTGATTTTTACGAGCATACGCGTCGTGGACTCGGCTGATGGGAAAAGTTACGCGAACCGCCGAGGGTACTGCATTATTGTACTTTATGGGCGAGAGGTTCCCCCCCTTTTTTTTGTCGGATGAAATTAATGGTCATAAGCGGGAGATAATGCGCCTCGCGAGCTTGTGGATTTAATATAGATACGGAAGATCTATGATACCTAATACCGGGTATGGCTTATACGTAGTCTTGTACAATACCTATGTATGTGCTCAGTTTCGCTAATATCTTTTTAATGCATTTCATCCTCCTAACCACGAGTTTTCTTTATTTCTGGGTCTGAAGAAAGGACGTAAGCATGATTATTTACGGTTTTTGTGAGTAAAGTTGTAGTTACAAAAGCTTTTTCAAGAAAAAAGTAAAATTCTGGATTTCTTTAATTATTTCAAAGAGGTAATCAACAACTCGGTATCCCTTCTCACATGCATACTATACATTGTCGCAATACTCCAGGGGTCTGATTTCGTACTTTGATATCCGTGATCGAGTTCGGATGTAACTGTCAATTCACGTAGTCTAAGACAAGCTCTTTATCGATAAAAAGTGGTTTCGCTGAACGGGTTTATCAAGCTTGTCTTCTATCCAACGACAAAAAGAGTGTAAGATTTTTAGTTTCATTTTTGTCAAGCTTGAGTTTTTTTATATCAATCCATCCGTGAAACTCGTTATTTAAATCTCAAAAATCTTATGTTATTTATAAATTTTTTATAACAATCACTTAAATATTTATAGCGAAAGGTAAAAATTTACATGGACTGACTTTGAGGGCTTTCCAGATACTCTTTTTATAAACTTTTTATTAATTTTGATAGTTTTTTAAACAACACAGTAATATCCGAAACAGTATCAACTCACTCGATGAGTGCTAATAAATCTTTCAAAGTATATTCTTTGACATCTCATGGTGACCAAAAGACTTTTTAAACTCCGAAAAAATGATCATATCGAAAAAAACAGATCACCAACTTGTATTACTACTGAATGAAATGGGTATAAATCAATCAAAGATCTTTTACCGTGACAGTACTAAGTGAAGCCATATCTTTACGAAACCCGTAAAGGGAAACAAATAAAAAATTGGCAGTTTTCGGTAGTCGATAAAATAGTTGTATCGCTTGAAGTTTCCATCGGTGGTTAGAAATATTTCTCGTAAGAAACATACACAGCGCAATCTGGACTTATATTTCATTAAAACCGGGCACGGTAGAAAAAAAAAAAAAAAAAATGAAAAATGATTGAGATGTAGGTGTACTCACTAGCCACAATCAGTCGAACCGAGTTGAAGCTTTCGGTGCGTCCCTTCGTGGGCGTAAGGTAACAGGTCACGTTGCCGTCGTGCTTCTCCTTGATCGATGATATCTTGACACCGCAGTGGCCCCTGTCGATGCCCTCGCCAAAGTAATCGATGCCATCCTCCGAGGGTTGGTTCGGCGACAGCACGAGGCTGGGCTCGCCCGGTATGACGAACCGGCAGAACTGCAGCGGCACGGCCACTTTGCACAGGATCGTCCGGCTCTGGCCCACGTTCACCGCCACCTGGTTGTCCGGCTGGATCTCCACCGGCAGAGCGGTTTTGTAAGCTGCAATGTGAAACAGAAAATTTTTCATTACTATTACTATGTCTCTTTCAAATGCACGGGCTAAAAAGTCTTTATACACGCTGGTCATGATAATTTATAACACGTGCTCGAGTGTTTATCGCAGAGTCAACCACGGGAGTACTTGTGGCCGTGAAAATATAATGTAACAGAAAATTAGTGGAGTTGGAAATCAGGTGGATTCAGTAAATTTTGAGCCAAATATTCATAGAAAAAAAAATTACAACGATTTCATGAACTGAATTTGTTAGACAAACGTTTAAAGCTAACCACTCGAAAAAAAAACTGCAATAATACCCTCATTTACTCCTACTGCAATTTAAATAGCATACGAGCTATAGTGTCTCCCGATTCGAGACTACGCCCTCGCATTTATCATTCCCCTCTATGACCAGAAATCGTGATCTCATGCTCATAATCATATTTATCCATCGTTTTGACGATTGGAAAATGTTACCTAGATTTTCCCGAAACTTTCTGCATTTGCATTTAAAAACTCGGATGAGAATGTAAAATTTAGACGTCACAAAAAAATGCAGAAACAAGTCTTAATATGATTATTTTAATCAAAGGAAAATCAATACCTCGCATAAAAACGTATTTTCTCTGTGCCTGGAAGATCACCACGCCATTGGATGTGACAATTGTTCAGCGAGCGTCACAACTTGGGAGTCATTTTCTCCCACGACCCCTCGCGATAAAAGACATAGTTGATGAAACCACCGCACAGCATCGGTATACACCAGCCACGCGCTAAAATTTAATTATACCGAAAGTTCCCGAAGGAGCAAAGCAAGTTTTCTTCCACAGAGCTCGGAAACAAGGCTGTTCGGGTGTACGTAGCGAAAGAGACACGTAAGAAATCTCACTGCAGCAAAAGCACTCCGTATTCCCGGGTGCAAGCGAAGTCTCGGCGTACAGGTATACGTGTGTCTTGCCGTGGGAAGAGGCCGTGCAATAAGTCGAATAAGTTGGCCCATGGGACGGGTCTGCTGACACGAGCGTGTGCCGTATGTGTCCTGGAAGAGCTGTAGCGCGAGAGAAGCGCATACGGAGAGTACAGGGCGAGTGTCTCGGGGCCAGCCGCGGAAAGCGAGATTTACGAGGTGACAAAAAGGAGAGTTGATTAAGCCATCCTCTACATCTCCATCCCCCATCCCCCTCTAAAAGCTGGGCTTCCCTTTCTCGCGAAGCTTCCTCTCATTCTCCTACTTTGTATTGTCTTTCCTCGCTCCCCTTGTATCTAGCACCCTGTAGACGTATGTTTGACTGGTGAAAACTTGTGCGAAAAGTTCACGATATTCTTGGAAGCACACATTTTACACGCTTCCTTGCTACTCTTTCATATAGGACACTTGTGCAGCGCAACTACGAGCTTACCATTAAGTACACTGCAACTGTACGCGTATGTTTTGGTTTGATTAGTTAGATCAGCAGACTTAATGCGTGGAAAGTTACTACCTCATGATATTTGTAGATTTACACAAAACTAATTGATTGGGCACATATTTATACTGACTGTAATAATTATTAATTTCCGTATGCATTATTCCAATGTCCATAATGGTCGGTTATTATATATACTACAAAATATTTTTCAACAGTTTTATTGACAGATTAAATGTTGATACAACCAAAGCGTAAACAAGTGATTTAAGCCTCAATGGTAAAATATGTAATATTTTGAGTTAAATTTTCTAAATGACTGTACACGCATGCCATGCATCAAACATTGAACTCTATATTTGGTACTGCGTCAATAGCCAGTTAATGCATGGTGCAGCCAATCGAAAAATTTGACACATCTAAAATTCAATGAACTCACTTATTAATTGAACAGTTACAGTCGTTAGACATTAAAAGTGCGCACGGATGCAAAAACACAAGTTCATGTTCCACCAAGCAACTTCTAATTAAAGGAGGATTATGTTTTCTCGATAAAAAAAGGCAGAGTCAAAGAGCAAAAGTGCAATCGCCAGCAATCAATGTAAAGCGATAGAGCTCAATGCCCCCCCGAGCCCTTCACCACGCAGCGGCAACAAAAGTCCCAACAGACGCGATTACCCAAAGCCTCGTCGTGAAGTCTATAACCATCACCGGTCCATCCTCGACTTCGGTCGCATCCAAGTGTACCTACTCTCCCATGAAAAACTTATACCATGCTCTCGTCGGTTATCGCGCGTTCGCGTACACATGAACCATAAAGAAAATACAGGTGCGTGGAAAAAGAAAGTAAAACGGAAAAAAAGAAGGGAAGGAGATCTCTATCCAGCGGAGTTTTATCCCCTGGACCCTCAGACCGAGCTCCCATCAGCAGAACGGCAATTGCACTGTCAAGCCCGACGATAGCGTAGCTTGCGACTTCGAGCCGTACCCGCAAAACGATCTCGTCCATGTCGTGTTAATGGCACCGCTCGGCAACCGTGATTATACGGACGTGCCTGTACACACGCGTGCATGGACATACAGTGCTTCCGAATAGCTTTATATGTGGTCGCCAATGTTAAGTGCTGAGTGCTCTCTTTCCCTCTTTTTCTCCTCTTGAAGGCATGGCTGCGATCAAAACTTTTCTAGTACTTCTGTGTGTGCACTTCAAGCACGCGAGTGTCATACATTTTGCTTCTCCCGTAACCTTTAGGGGGAGATGTATACGTATGTACGTATGTGTGTTTGCTCATTGCTTTCGTTTTCGTTGGCTTTTGCTTCGTACTGGTACTTCTTTATCTTTGCACATATCGTGTACCGTCGCGTATTACGCACAAGAGTCTACGCAAGCTATCTTTTTATCGACGTGCGTAGCTGTTGGCACTTTTTTATTTTATTGTGCGTACAGGCCATGATCTTACGTCTGCGTTAAAAGTATCTCGATGACACAAAGTTTGGGTGTTTCGTTTGAGCAGTGCTCAGCAGTCGTTTGCATGTGTTTCATTTTTTTTTTTTTTTCGAATGAATAGCCACATCGGCTATTTTCTCTGTCTTATAAGCTGCAAGTACATTCATACGGTAATATATGTTTCATTACGCATAAAAATCTACACTTTCTTGCAAACTAACGTGTAAATCTATTGCTAAGTCAAAAAGTAAGTATTCGTCAATCATTCGATTTAAAGTCCTTGGTTAATGTACTTTGAATTAAAAAGGTATTATAGATTTATGTGGTCAGCTAATTATAAATTTTTAATCTCAGGAGATGATCACAATTATTTATTTCTCTTATTACTGCAGATTCAAGTAATTTCATAAGAATCTATGATAAGAAACAGTCAAAAATTTAAAACAAAAAAAGAATTATTCCGTTTAAATAACATGCAAAATATTTTGATGTATTTTGCGACTCAATTTTTTCTGTTTTTCAAAAATAACCCAAAATTTTTTCAAATTTCAGGAGGATAAAACGTTTTTAGATTAACTGGTCTAAACACGCGGTACTTTGTAGTGTTTTATAAACTCGACATAATACATAATACTATTAAAAATATTTTTTACTTTGGGTATGTCATAAATTATTAAATATTTTGGTTGCTAAGTTTAAAAATTAATACAAAGTTAATACATAAGAATCTACAACAAGTAGATAGATATATACCGTTTGTTTATTGCATCCACAGTACACACAATAAAGAATTGTGTTTTTTTTGTTTCAGTTTGTAGGTACAGGCATTTTCAAAAATCGTTTAAATGTATTTTTTAATTTTTAGTTTTCAGTAGTTAAATTTAATATCCAACACCAAATACTAAAATGTTATACTTCCTATTCTACCCGTGCAAGAGCTCATCGTCTAAGTAGATATAGACAGATAAAGTAAGACGACATTTCGATGGGCGGGAAATGTGAAGTGACACAAGGACAACTTAATCTGTATAGGAAAAAAAATTAAAAAGAAATTTATTGCAGCACTTAAATACTGGCATACATGGAATCGTTACCCACGAAAAAAAATTTACTGTTGCAATTGATGGTAAACTTTTTGTGATAAAGCACTACAAGAAGGCGTATGTACATGTTTAATCTTATACTTAGATAAAAGTTGAAAGACAAAAATAAAAAGCAACTCTTGGTATGTAAAAAAGATAAACGTAGACACAAATGAGTGAAAAAAATTCGCAAGTTCTCTTTGATGCGAGAAGCATAAAAAAAAATCCTACACTTTACAGAACTGTGCCAATAAACCAAAGCTTTCACTTTGTACGCAAAAAAAGAAAAACTCGAGTGTTCAGGTCAGAGACCAAGTGCCACATAGCACGTACAGCGCATTACATGAAGAAAGGGCCGGCAGCCAAACAAGAAGGAAAAAAATGGGCCCCGTACATGCCTATGCTTGGTTGCACCAGCGGGAGATGTCTTTGACGAGCGTTGATGCGAGACCGTGCATACATGCATACATACTGTACAGCCAGCACGTGTGGCCCATCAATCTGGCATCTTGGTGACTATAGCAGCCCCCAAGCTCACCAAACCCATCAACGCCACACATGTACACAAGGAATGAGGGAGGAAGCGGTTGCAGCTCGAGTGCACGCATTATGTTGATACACGGGCGTGCAAAAATTTATGCTAAACCGGGCGGAGCGATAGCTCGCTAGACTGCACGGGACAACGCGACTATCATACTTTACTTTCACCAAATTTGAGGGCGTAAAGAGGAAAAGATACCTTATTGTGCTGGATATTGTTGTAAATGTATTTTTACGATTAGCGGAGTAACGTCACCCAGTATAAAAAACGATAAATCACAAAGCTTCCCATTTAAGTAGAAAAAAAGGTTTCATTTTAATATTTGCATTGAAAAAAATTGTGTTTAAACTGCTGCTTTTGTCAAAAAGTAACGTCAATAGATGGGAGTAAAAAAAATCTATATTCCCTTGTGTGATCTGCATTCTCCATGCATTAAAATTGCATCGATTGTACGAGCTCAATCACACTTGAATCAATATGTACTCACCCGCCCCGTACTATACTGTTTAACGTAAGGCTTACGAAG